TTTTGTCTATATATATATATATATATATATATATATATATCACAATAAGTAGTATGTGAATGAATGCACAAAATTTCCCTGGAAGCACACAACCGGTTTCGCGGTTCTTGCCGCTCGTCAGGCATGCGTATCCGGCAAGATTTTGTCAGTTCACTCATATACTTGTACCCAGGAAGTGTATTTTCGTCACAATAACCTTGTTTGCGACACCGGGTGAGTATTGGATAGGCGGCTCTTTCTGAGCCAGTCCAATGAAGAATCGATGCTATGATTCGATGTTTCGTAGGTGGGTTAGATGCTACTAACCGCAATAAACGTCTTGGTAGAATATATATATATCTGACAACGCGAGAGTAATAAGAATTCGGAGGTGAATTTGGTACATATGGGAAGAAATAAACTGCAGAAATCAAGACCCATTTTTTCTCTCTGTTTCACCGTACACGTACTTGATACTTTTCATCTGTTTTGTGCTTGATTATCTTTTTACAGGGTATGGGTCATCACTAGGAAAACTGTACAGCATTCCAATCACTGACTAAATTTTACCTTTCAAAATCTCTAATTGGCAGCAATCCTCATCCCTTGGACCGAAACCTAGAAGGTTAGAAGCACCAACCGAAGCTGCGTTTCTCATGAACCTACATCAATTTATCCGCTAACTGCTGCGTCCTTTCGTACAGCCTGGTCCAGAGTGTGCAAACGGAGCACGGAGGAGTAGGCAATGGGCGGTGTACAACAATTTCCTCTTTCAACGAACGACAATCAGTACTGAACACACGACGATAAACCTCTCCATTGTTCATCCGATGTTCCCATTGGACATGGGTAATCCCGCGAAGACATCGCTAGTTGAAAATAGATTGTCATTTAGCATCTTCCGCGATGAGGGGCCAGGTCTAACAGTCTTATTAACAACCTTTCAATAAGAGAAAGTCGGATAGTTCGGAGGCACCACAGTTGGCACAAGGACGCAGAAGCTGCTCTCTTTTTTATTCCCATTGTGATCTTCCCAATAATTCGTTTAACTGTTATAAAACTCCCGAAGTATCTGAAGTTTTAAAATGTTTCTGGCCGCTCACTTTGTGTGTTAATTGCATGCTCGTGCTTTACCAGCCTTATACGAGTACTTTACATCTAAGTGGGGTTTGTACTCATAATCTTTCTCGTCTGTCTATTCAAGTGCTAAATGCATCAAGCATGCCAATGTGTATCCAAAATTTGAATCCTCCAGGACGTAGATCCGTACTTTGTTCTATCATTGCACTTCTTTGTATTATTCTATGATCAAAGGTTCGACAAATCGGTCAACTGGGCCTTATGAGCATGCTTGTTCCGGAGGAATACGGTGGTTCCGGAATGAATTACCTGGCCTACGTTATCGCGCTGGAAGAGATCAGCCGAGGCTGTGCGTCTGTTGGCTGTATCATGTCTGTGCAGAACTCGTTATTTTTCACTCCGCTGTTGAAGTATGGATCCTCGGCACAGATCAATGCCTACTTGGGACCATTTCTGACTGGTGAAAAACTCGGCTGTTTTGCCCTTTCAGAGCCCGGGAATGGAAGTGATGCGGGTGCGGCATCCACAATGGCCAAACGTGAAGACAGTAGTTGGATGCTAAATGGAACCAAGGTTAGAAAAATTTTGTACAAGTAGTTTTTTCTCTGTGGGTGGTACATTGATTTGTTTCAGTGACAAGCGTTTCTCTTCCAACATTCCTGAGAAAGATTCTCACGAAACATCAAATGACTACCAAAGTTTCTCGAACACCTGTTTTCGAATATCACCGGTTTGCATTATCACATTACACGGCGCATTTTTCTTTGATCGGCTTGGATAATTAGTATGCTGTGTGATCATTCTGGATCCCCTTCTTCTTGTGCTTTTCTAAATAAACATTGAATTATTCTGTACATCCGCATGAAATCCTTGATTCTTTGTTACTGTACGTATGAAAGTTGAATGAAACAACATTTTGAATTACGATTATTATTCGATCAATGTATTGCCTGTCAACTTTGTTGCCCACGGGTGAGTTTTGACTCCCAACTAAAGAGTTGGAGTTTGGAATCCCAATAGGGACACAAAAATAGCACACTCTGTTGATGAGTTCGGACCAGTACGAGACAGCTATCCGGTGCTAGTTGTCGGCCATTGAACGAAATGTGTAAAACCAAAACAGTACAGTATCCAATGAAGTTGCATTGCATAGAACGGTCCAACAGTAGATGCGCATTCTTGTGGTTACCATACTGAACACAGCAACTCACTCCAACAGGTCTTGGTCAGTTTTGACCATTGAAAAAAAACCAATCGCATCCTTTTGTGAACTACTCACACCTGTGGATAGTACCTCACAACAATTGTAATTCATGGTTAGATACACTGAGCGATGTGGCTGTGTCGTAAACAGTGGCTCTCGTGCCTCTACTCATTTTTTGTGCGGCCTCAATCCACCGGAATTCTCCATTTTCTCTTTGTCACTGCTTTCAAAATTTCCAATCTTCCTTCCATCTCCATCCGAATGGACAGTCAAAAGACAACAACCCAAAATCGCCAGGCGCAAGTACATCGTTAGTGGTTTTACTAACGGAAACAAAAGGTATAAACATTGTTTCATTTTTCACGGTTTGAGATGAGATTCTGACTGTAACGATGAACACAACACACATGCGGTCCGGTTCTCTTTAGAGTGTACGAACGGAACATTTGGTCTTTCTAGGTTTTAACACAACATGACATGAGTGACAATATTATTTTATGCGCTCAGTTGTTGATCAAGCTGTTAAATCCTCACAGGGGTTCAACGGGACTCGATGTTTACCTACCGTTACCGTGAATAATGGACAGATTCAACGTTCGATTAAGGCCGTTTTATGGTCGACCTCACTGCGCTATTCATTTCATTCTCACCCTCATTTCGCTCCCCCACGATATCGCGTACCATGCTCTCCTCGGATTGAGTGCATTCTGCTCTAGTCTGCATGCTTTGCGTCATGCCACACGGCGCCGCATCATTGATTGTGTACATGCTTGCCTGTCCGAAGTCAACTCTTACTGGTTTCTCGTTTGCGTTCCTCTGGTCGATCGCGTTTGTTCGCAATCTTGCCTTTGCTGACCACCCATGGTTTCTCTTTGTCGAACTGTTCGCTAATCTGCTCAACTGCCTGTTTTGTTACACACCTTGTTCCTGTCCTCCTGGCCTTCGTGCTTACACGTCCCGACTGTCCATTGACGGCCTGATCCACAGGTCTCCAAATCCCAGATACTCTATTTGACGATAAGTCGTCCCGACCAGCTCCAGAACAGTCCTGGCTGTGTTGTCCTCCTCCCGCTGCACCCTCTGTTGCATTAGCTGTTGATATAGTATGGATTGCTTTTTGTTGCTGGCATTACTCAATTTTACAATTAAAGGACCAAATGCCGGATTCTACCGCCTCATTTAGTGTGTACTCATTTCCTGTGCAACAACGTAAATAGGCCGCACGGTCAGGCGTTTGTCCAAACAAATCCGTGAACATCACCCCTATGGTTAAATCCAGTAACGNTAGTGCAGTGGCTTCACACCTAGTAGAAATAAATCACACTGTGTATGTGACCGAGGCATCCCGCCCCCTGTATCGGGTTCATGACCAGCTGCCCAGTGGTCGAGTGGGTAGTATGCTTGCGTTCTAGCTTTGAGGTTCCGGGTTCGAGCCCCAGTTAGGTCGATGAATTCGCACTGCTGATGAGATCAACCAGGCGAAACANCCCTCGATAAGAATATCCGGTCGGAAGACGAAATTATCCCCAAATAACCTATGATTTTGATTTTCTCAATGCAATTGTTTGGTTTTTATAGTTGAATATTGATACATATATAAACATTGTGACATTTATTGTGATGTATTGGCATGACTGCGGATCACTGAAAACGAAACTGTTCGCCACTCTTTGTTCTATTTGAAACAGTATATCCATGGAAAAATTGTTCTATCTAATAAATCGAGATTTGAAAAATAGCACAATTTGAAGAGAAATCGAGTGACAGGATGATCGTCTATATAATGTGAAATTGAAAGTTGTAAAAGTCGGTTTCAAGTATTCCGGTGTATCTAAAATGAACAATTTGTAAAATAGTTCGATGGTTGTATACATCTTGCAGCTAAGATGTGCATCATCTTCTCCTAATCATACGGTTTAATGCATTGCTTTGCTAGCAAACACAAATGCTGGCGAGTTTAAGTTTGTCCAGGAGTAGGAGTAAAAAGTGACGGCGGTAGAGATGCGAGAACATCAGATTTGATTGAAATGTAAGTATATAAGCTCATAAAAGTTATACCAATACATATTCAGTGCATAAGTGACGATACAGAAAATTGCTGAATATCAAGGTTCATCCGCATCAAAGGATTTACCATGCTTTCCGTGCATCTTATGAACACGTATCCTCCTCAGGTAGCACAAACCCAAACAACACGAGTGCCTGGTTGATAATCTTTTGATTACATCGCTGAGCGTTTGTCGGGCATCGCTTTTGAGTGTACACTCACAAACAAAAATGAGTTACTCAACGAACGGCGGAAAACGCGTTCCTTATATTACGGTATTTTCGTTGTCCATTTTGATATGCGTACTTCGCGCTTTAGCAGTTACGGAATAGTAGTCTGTTTACGTTGATATCCTGTTCAGTATAATTACCAGAACGCATAAATCGTAACCAACACCTTTATTTGATTGAACTCTTATATAGTTGGTAAAACCCATGGTTTACACGCTCACATAAAGAATCATTCTTGCCCAGCTACGACGCAAATAAAAACAAATGAACAGTAGGTTAACTGTTTATTCTTGGTTTATTGTGGTACATGGATTAATCGACATTGTCCCAAAAGCCGTTTTCTTTTTCACTTTCTGAAATTGTCCCTTGAAACCATCTTTACCCACTGTAAGAAAACACAAAGTAGCGAACAAGCTTGTTCGCGGTAATGAAATATATCGACAAAAGGATGGCGTGGCCATGAGGTCTCCGCCGGAACCGCTTTTCGCGGATTTATTCATAGCAAAACTTAAAAACACTCAATTACAGTCATTCGTCGAAGACTGTGCACTGTACACGCGGTACTTCGATGAAATTTATCGTGTGATCAATGCAACATGGAACACAACGGAACTATTAAACAGGTTCAACAGTGCGCATCTCAACATAAAGTTTACTTTAGAAATGGAGTGTAACAACAAATTGCCTCTTCTAGATGTCTGCATCACCCGTCGATCAGATGGTTTGGTGCAGTGTTGCGTGCATAGAAACGCAACTTGGAAAGACCAATACATTCATTTCGGAAGCTTTGTGCCACTGGAGGCTAAAAGGAACCTGTATCGTTACCTAGCGGATAGGTCAAGAAAGATCTGCAATGTGGACACACTAGAAGACGAGCTGCGAACTGTAAAATCTAAAATCTTTACACGTAACGGGAATGCGGAGCGTTTAGTCAACAAGATGATACAGTGTACGGAAAACTCTGTACAAAACACTGAGGTTAGGAAAAAATCCGTGTACATTTCTTTGCTGTTCAAAGGGGACACATCAGCTGAGATCATACAAAGAAGATTATCTGACGCAATCGAT